GCCGGCGACTGATCTGCCTCGCCAGAGAAGAGCGCAATGATGGTGCCAACTTGGGCCAGTGAAGCAACATCCTCCACAACTAGATTGAAGACAAAACGACAGCAACTTGTCTGTTCCCCTTTCCCCAATTCCCCAGCACTGTTCCCATCCCCCCAATTCCCCAATAAAAAAAAAAATGTTAGAACTAAAATGAATTCAGCAAATTAGCAGGATACAAAGTCAACACACACAACTAAATTGCATTTCTATACACTAACAATGAACAATGCGAAAAGCAAACTACAAAAATAACTTAATTTTCAACAGCACCAGAAAGAATAAAGTACTTAGGAGTAACTTAACCAACAAGGCAAAAGACTTGTACAACCACGACAAAGCATTGCTGAAAGAAATTAAAGAAGACATGGCAACACATCCCATGTTCATGGACTGGAAGTCTTAATATTCTTAAAATGTCAATACTATTCCAAACTATCTACAGATTCCATGAAATTCCTATCAAATACCCAATGATTTTTTTTTCAGAAATAGAAAAATTCATCGTAAAATTCATATGGCATCTCAAAGACTCCAAATAGCCAAAAAATCTTGAAAAAGAAGAACAAATATGGAAGACTCACACTTCCTGATTTCAGTACTCACTACAAAACTACAATAATCAAAACAGTATGGCACTGAAATAAAGGCACATAGACCAATGGAATAGAATACAGAACCCAGAAAGAATAGACACCCCCTCACATATATGGTGTAAGGATTTTCAACAAGCCCACTCATTGGGGAAAGTTAAGCCTTTTCAATAAATGGTGCCGAGAAAACTGGATATCATGCAAAAAAGTGAAGCTGAAGCCTTACCTAACACCATATTAAAATATTAACTCAAAATGGATCAAGATCTTAATATAAGGCCTAAAACTGTTAGAAATATAAGGCAAAACCTTCACAACATTGGATTTGGCAATGATTTCTTGATAATGACACAGGAAACAAAAGAAAAAAACAGACAAACTGGACTCCATGAAAATTTAAAAATTTTGTGCATCAAAAGATACTAACGACATAGTAAAAAGACAACCCACAGAATGGGAGAAAATATTTGCAAATCATATATATGATAAGACATTAATATCGAGGATATATAGAGAACCAAAACTCAACAATAACAAAAAAACAAACAACCCAATTCAAAAATGGGCAAAGGACTTGAACAAACATTTCTCCAAAGGAGATATACACATGGCCAATAAGCACATGAAAAGATGTTCAACATCACTAATCATTAGACAAATGCAAATCTAAACTACAATAAGATACTTTCTCACACCAATTAGGATGGCTACTACTAAAACAAAACAAAACAAACAAAACAAAACAAAAAAACCCAGAAAATAAGTGTTGGTGAGGATGTGGAGAAACAGAAACCTTTGCTTACTATTGGTGGGAATGTAAAATGGTGCAGCCACTGTGAAAAATAGTATAGCAGTTCCTCAAAAATTAAAAACTAGAACTGCCCGTATGACCCAGCAATTCCACTTCTGGGTGTATACTCAAAAGCATTGAAAGCAGTATCTTGAGACATGTTCATAGAAGCATCATTCACAATAGCAAAAACCTAGAAGTAACCTAAGTGTCCATCGACTGAACAATGGATAAGCAAAATGTGGTGTATGTATATAAGCATTAAAAATACCATTCAGCCTTAAAAAAGAAAGAAATTCTGACATATGCTACAACATGGATAAACCTTGAGGATATTATGCTAAGTGAAATAAAACTAGTCACAAAAAGACAAATACTATATTACTCCTCTTATATAGGTCACTAGAGTAGTCAAAACCATAGAGATAGAAAGTAGAATGGTGGTTTCCAGGGATCGGGGGTTGGGTGGGGAGTGGGATAGAGAGTTATTGCTTAATGGAAACAGAATTCCAGCTGGGGAAGGTGAAAAGTTCTAGAGATGGATGGTGGTGATGGTGCACAAGAATATGAATGCACTTGGGCCGGCCGAGTGGCACGTTGGTTAAGAGCTGGCTTGGGACGCCAGCTCTAAACAGCAGGTCCCGGTTCGGATCTCACATGAGGGCCAGTGACACTGCCCTCTACAGCTAAGATGGTGAACAACAGCTCGACCTGGAGCTGGGCTGCCATGAGTCGCCGGGGATGGCCTAGGCTGCAGCCCCTGCTGCAGTGGGATGCCATGGGCTACCCTGTGTGGCCGGCAGCCAGCATGAGCAGCCGGAAGCCAGTGTGAGCTGCCCAGAGCCGCTGTGAGCAGCCATCCAGAGGCTGGCGGCCTATCTGACCCGGGAAGAGCACAATGATAATACCAACATGGGCCAGTGAAGCAACGTCCTCCACAACTAGACTGAAGAACAAAAGGACAGCAACTTGTCTGTTCCCCCTTCCCCAATTCCCCAGTGCTGTTCCCCTCCCCCAATTCCCCAATAAAATCTTAAAAAAAAAAAAGAATATGAATGCACTTAAACAAGAATATGAATGTACTTAATACCACTTAACTGCACACTTAAAAATAGTTACAATGGTAAATGTCATGTCATGTACATTTTACCACAATAAAATTTGCGGGGAAGAAAGAGAATGAAGGGAGAGGGAGAGATAATGAAGGAAACAGAGTAGAAAAGACAGGGTGAGGCCAAGAGTGAAGAAGGGACAGAGAAGGGAAGAAAAAGACACACAGAGGTGGAGAAGAAAGAAGGGCGTTTAGGGGACAAAGAGGAGAGAGGTAGAAACAGAGGAAGGAAGGCAGAGATGAAGAGAGGAAGTGGGGAGAAAGAGAAAGGCAGGTACTGAGAGACAGAGAAAGGGGCAGAGAGAAAAGTGTAGGGAGAGTTAAGAGATGAAAGGCAAAACAAACAAAAAAAGAACTTGGAAAAAAAAAGGCAGAGGGGAGGCTGTTCTTGGGAGAGAGAGGGGCACGTACAACTGAACGAGGATTTTCACCAAGTTGATGTGGCCGCAGGTGGCCGCGGCATGCAGGGGCGTCCACAACTCGTTGTCCTTGGCGTTCACATTCGCACCGTGGGAAAGGAGCAGTTTGACGATTTCCTCAAAGTTGTCGATGCAACACTGCAGGAGGGGGGGGGGAGACACAGGCAGGGTGAGCTCCAGGCAAGGCCCCAAGCTCTGGTGGGGACACACCAAGTTCCCTTGGAGAGGCCACAGGAAGGACAGTGGAGCCAAACTGCCTGAGTTTGAATCCAGCTGCAGTATTTATACGCTGTGTGATTTTGGGCAAGCAACTTAACCTCTCTGAGCCTGCTTTCTTGTGAGTAAGCTCATAACATACAGCTAAAAATATAAAGATAATATTTTTTATAAAATGTTTTGCAAGTTGGTGGAATGAAACAAATTTTTGAATGAGGCTTTAAAACCATTTCTTTTTAATTCCAGAAGGCTTCCTTCACACAAAATCGTACAGAGAACTTATCTAACTTAGATAAGCAACAGATTGAAGCAGGGCTGCAGGGGATAAAGCCGGGGGAAGGGGAAAGCAGGGGGGATTAGGAGGGTTCCCCTTCCCAGCGAGGGCCTCCAAGGTGTGGCCCTAGATGGATCATAGTTTGAAACCCTTAACTTAGGAATGTCTGATTCAGGAGCTCAGTTTTTGGAAGTGCCCTACATAACCAAACCTCCCCTAAAGAACCCAACTCTGAGTGAGGGCTCAGGGGGTCCCGAGACAGTCCTTGCAAGAAGACGGCCACGTTTGTACTTCTGCCTGTCCACACGTGGGTCAGCCCCAGGGAGCGGGGGTCAGGTGCCTGTAGTCCCTCAAAGAGACAGCCACAGGAGCCCCTAACTCCAGGGACAGAGAGTGAAAGATTCCAAGGGGACAGAGAGGCCTCAGGCCAGGGTAGGGAGAGGCAAAGACAGAGGAGGAAGAAGACAGGGAGCCACTTTACAGACTGCAGGATGGAGCACACAGCAGGGGACAGTGCTCAGCACAGCCTATCCAGGTGAGAACTCCGCCCTCAGTGCAACGGGAGACGTTGCAGAGTTATAGTCAGAGCGGCAGTACCATCAGCTGTGCTTTTAAAAAAAAAAAATCCCGCCTCTTGTTGCAGGTGGAGCACAGATTGCGTGTGCTCGCTTCTTTGGGGGAGAAGAGGGATGGTGAGGAGCTATGAGGAGCTATGTTGAAACCGCCTAGTTAAGAGATGGTGGCGGCCTAGCCTACAGAAGTGACCGTAGGCATGGGGAGAAGTGACTAGATGCCAGCAGAAGGAGGGAGGCACCTGCGGAAGCCCATAGCCCCCGGTAGGGCGGGGGTGGGGATGAGGGTGGGGGTAG